GTTTTACATGTTGTAAGGGTTTATATAGGGTTCGAGAGTGAATGGGAGGGGGTTTAGACTTTGAGTAGTTTTGGTCATAGCTGTTGTGTCATAGTTTCATCTGTGTCACGGGTCCTATGTCCTGTAGGGCTGTCGTGTCATAGTTTGATCTGTGTCACGGGTCCTATGTCCTATGTGCGGTAGATAGGGCTGTTGTGTCATAGTTTGGTCTGTGTCACGGGTCCTATATCCTATGTGCAGTAGATAGAGCTTCTTATCGGGTGCGTCACATCGCCGCGCCCATACGCCGCGCTCGTGACGAAAGCAAAGGATTAAAGAAAAGTTGCATGCAAGAACAAACTAGCAAATTGCGATTAGTCGTTACTTATGTTTATTAAACAAATGTAACATACTCAATGAAATAACTAACAACTTTATAAATCACAGAGTCGCTAGAATTATAAAAAATGGGAAAAGAGTTAGAGTTAGATTTAGTCGTTCGTCTCTAAGTTCACCTGCTCCTAGAAAAGTTTCAGTGCGTCAATGTGCCGAAGTCTGTCAGTGACCTGCTCGAAACATTACTGTTGTCCATGTGTTTTATCTTTAAGTACCGGGGCTCGGTACATTGACGGAAGGATATTTTAGTTTGAGTTTGTTACAAAATTTGGAACAGCTCCCAAATATCACTGATGAATTATCAGACGTGAATCCAATTATATTCTGTATACGGATCTGCTTGATTCCATGGTTAGTTGAATTGGCTGCAGCGGTTGCGTTTCTCACCGATGGCCACCAGAAATAGGTGATTGCTTTCTCTTTTCTGTCAGTATGTTCTTTTGCCGTACGCCGCTGGAAGCGTATATGACATACCGTATTCCAGCTCTTCTATTTATTCTAGATTTAATTCTATCCTAGGTGCAGCCGGTTGCCCATTCTCCTATTCTGGAACCAGATTTTCACCTGGAGATTGCTCTCTTGTCTTTATAGGTACATTCTTTTGTGTATACGCCGTCGGAAGCATATGTGAGATGAGGTAATCCAAATCTTCTGTTTCTTCTGGATTTAATTCTATCCTGGCTGCCGCCGGTTGCTCATTTTCCTATTTTGAAACCATACTTTGACCTGTCTTTGGTGATAGTCTAACGGAAGTCCGGAGTGTGAGGAGAAGAAGGGTACGCAAAAAAACGACATGTGATAATTCGTATAAGAATTATAAAAATGAAACGTTATTGTCGCGACCGGTCACCCGGCCGCGTTCTCGAAAGAAATACGAAATAAAAAGAACCGTTCGCAACGCGAACGTTTATGTTATTGATTATTTATTGTATTGGCCTGGGGCACGGTCGTGTCGTTGCCGCTGAATGTCCTTAGCGGCGATTTCTGTAAAAACAAAAGAAAAGAAATACCGAAGCGATGTATTAGTTATTTCGTCATTAAAAATTGAGTTAAAAATCGTATATCATTAAAATAATAACGTACAATAAATTGGTTTCCATTAAAAGATGCATCTCCTTCAGCCATGCAAGCTTCGTCTAACAAATGTGGACTTTCTCCCATAACATTCAAAATATAAATATTTGTCGAGTATTATTACCCTCGAATATCCCACAGAAAATTCACATGCGGCGTGCGGCGTTCGGGAAAAATATCGTTCTGTGCGAAATTTACGAGGAGCGCCGCAAAGGCCATAAAAATGACCTTTTGGGACGAACAGCGGGTGGCCTGACCCGTACATTTGATCCTCGATCTCTCGAGCTAGACAAAATTTCACTGAGGCCCCTCGAAGTCTCCGACGTTTACATGCTTTTAGTATAGGCTGGAAACTTGGTTTTCGGCCCTGGTCGAACTTACGGTCGGCTCAAAAAACGCCGCGCCGCACCGCACCGCACACTCTGAGAGGATTGACCATTACGCTCTAACATCTTCGACGTCCTTGATCTCTGAAATGTTGCAAAGGTGAATTAGAATAGAATTTTCGACGCACTTACCGAGCGGCATGAGTCCCCGCTCCTGGGCAGAACTCTGCGCAGTGGAGTGTATGATATCTCGATGAGTTCAGCGGCTCCACGAGCAAGTCCCTTGCTGTGAAACGGAGCAGAATCATGCTCAACGTTTGTCCCTCCACACCGTGTAAAGGTGGAAGCTCATAGCAACGAGCTTCAAGTCCCGACCTTATAGGGCGCGATGTAACTTACCGCACCAGGAAGGGCCCGAGGATGACAAACTGCAGCAGTGCGTTTAACGCGACGTACTGCCTAAGCCATCAGCCGTTTCTAATTAACTTTTAGAGGTGGTCTATGACGGTGGATTCAGTCTTTCCGACCTACGAACCCGAGTTGAAACGCAATTCCGAAATGTTCAGTTACAGGAACAAGTTGTGGCTCGTATTCGCTTCACCGCGAAATTCTGCGCTATTTCTCTCAATCGATTTTCCTCCTAGTTAGGAATTTGTAATTTTTTTATTCAGCGTTGGATAATTGTATGCGATGGTTTTTCGAATCGGCAACAACTATCGGAAGTCAATGCTATATTCCATGGTTAGTTGAATTGGCTGCAGCGCCAGCATTTCTCACCGATGGCCACCAGAAATAGGTGATTGTTTTCTCGTTTTTGTCAGTATGTTCTTTTGCCATACGCCGCTGGAAGCGTATGTGAGATACCGTATTCCAGCTCTTCTATTTATTCTAGATTTAATTCTATCCTAGGTGCAGCCGGTTGCCCATTCTCCTATTCTGGAACCAGATTTTCACCTGGAGATTGCTCTCTTGTCTTTATAAGTACGTTCTTTCGCATATTCGCCGTCGAAAGCATATGTGAGACGACGTAATCCAAATCTTCTGTTTCTTCTGGATTTAATTCTATCCTGGCTGCCGCCGGTTGCTCATTTTCCTATTCTGTAACCAGATCTTCACCTGGACACTGCTCTCTTGTCTTTATAGGTGCATTCTTTTGCGCCGTCGGAAGCGTATGTGAGACGACGTATTCCAGCTCTTTTATTTATTTTAGATTTAATTCTATCCTAGGTGCAGCCGGTTGCCCATTCTCCCATTCTGGAACCAGATTTTCACCTGGAGTTTGCTCTCTTTTCTTTATAGGTACGTTCTTTCGCATATATGCCGTCGGAAGCGTATGTGAGATGACGTATTCCAGCTCTTTTGTTTCTTCTGGATTTAATTCTATCCTGGCTGCCGCCGGTTGCTCATTTTCCTATTCTGAAACCAGATCTTCATCTGGACATTGCTCTCTTGTCTTGATATGTACGTTCTTTTGCATATACGCCGTCGTAAGCACATGTTACACGCCGTATTCCAGCTCTTCTGTTCCTTCTGGATTTAAATTCATCCGGGCTTCCGCCTGTTTTCAATTTCGAAACCACATCTTCACCTGAGCATTGTATTCCCGCCTTTATCGGTATGTTCTTTTGTAAATATGTCTTTGAAAACTTGCTTGAAACGCCTTATTTGTACTGCTGCACTCTTCTTCCTATGTTTCATTCGGTCTCTGATGCCGTCGGTCGTTCATTTTTATATTTTCTTTCGCTAGGTGACCGTCATCTCTCTCAAAGCGTTCTCAATATACTTCGCGTACGCTGCACATTCAAGGCTTTTCATTATAACAATGTAATGTTATTACATCATTTGTAACTGGTGTTTAAATTAAACTTAAGGCTTTTTATGGAGTGTACTTATGAAGTGCAGTTGGGGTTCCATAAAATTGAATAAAACTGTAAATAATATTGGAAATATATTTCAGCAATGGATCGAATTATTGAAAAATAGTATATACATGTGCGTATAGAAAATAGATGATACATAGAAAAGAAGGTATAAATATGTATAAAGAATAGAAATGTATACAAAAGGAAGTATTGTGTATATTGCCTAATATAATTATAACAATATCTGTATCGGAACACTTGACTACCACATTCGAGTCTGAGCTTATTTTAGAGGCATGGTAAATGTTAGGGGATAGGTGGCCCCTAACGGGTCCAGATTCGAGGTACGGGACGCGAAATAACCGGATACTAAATTTGCACTTTTAAACGCGTTTATTTCGAGCACTAAAGAAGCCGTCGATGTGTCTGGGTCCCGGAATTCTCGGGGAATGGGCCCTCCCGGTAATCGTCGGTTTAGCCAGCACTCGTCCTTGTGCTCTTCTTTTGGCGAGTTATGGTCAATCCTCACAGAGCGTGCGGTGCTGTGCGGCGCGGCATTTTTCGAGCCGACTGTATGTTCGACCAGGGCCGAAAACCAAGTTTCCAGCCTATACTAAAAGCAAGTAAACATCGGAGACTTCGAGGGGCCCCAGTGAAATTTTGTCTAGCTCGAGAAATCGAGGACTAAATGTACGTGACGATCCATCGTAGACTCCGACGGAATCGGCGTTCTAACGCGCGCACATCGACCTCGGCGCGTGGCATAGAAGAGTCGCGCTTATCCGTTTTCTCACTAGCGTTTAATCCTTTTTCCCACTCTGCACACTCAAATTCGAATTCTTCGATTCGTTAACGGTTGGACGGTGACGTCGATCGCGTATTGACAACGATCCTCCGTGCCGATTTTTGTTGCGCAATTCGGCGCGTGTCTCGATACAAATCTCTCGCTCCGGAGGTCGTATAAAATATCGATGTTGTCGATTTGTTATTTTTATCGCGGTTAGCTCGATCCGTACCTTCGAAGAAAAACCTCAATCCGAAGGTCGCGCAAAATAACTGACTTCCGCGAATCGAATTTATTGAAATTAATTTTCGATTTTTAAACAGTGAACAATTACAGTGTCAGTCTCTTCGTGTGAAGAGCAGGAAAAATCGGTCTTTACACAATCTAGTACATACGACTTCATATGGTTTGAAGGCCCACAGTTGCCACCACCAGTAAAAGATATTATTTTGGATACTGAGGATTCGGAAGATAATTTCCAATTCGCGATTCCTGATTGTATGCATTATTCATTTAATTTACTTAACTATTTATTATTTTCAGCTGATGAAGAGTCTGAATATGATAGTGATGAAGATCCCGAATGTAAAGAAAACGTGCAAGATGTACAACATGAAACAGAATGATTTTTTTTTTAAATCAATATTTTTACAAAGAAAGTTAATTTTTTTAAGTTTCTTATAAGAATGTATACCTTCTCAACTATCTCCTGACATTTTAATAATAGTTCCTTGAGTCCTGAACGAACATTCAGGGTGTGAAAACCGCTGCGCGCCGGAAGACGATCTCTCACTTTGCACTCGAATTTCTCAGAATGTCTTCCACTTTGCCTTCTGACATTTTGCACATAGTTTAGTCTATACGTACACAATACAAATGCAAATCGTCAGAAGTTTTGCTTAACATGTAAATTTCCTGAAATTTTTCGCAACTTCGTCAGCTTCTGACAACCCTTTGTCTTCCACCTAGCCTTCTGACAATTCTTTTCTTGCTTTTTCTCATGCTCCTTAATAGCTATGCAAATTTTCAGCCTTGACGAAAACAGTTTTTCTCAGTCTCAAAATCGACAAGTTTGATCGCCCGCCCACGCATAAACCCTCAGGTGCGCCTTTTGACGATCGGGCTTTCGCTTTGCCGACACCAATCCAACCTTTTCCACGTAAGATATTTCATTAACCTAGGCATGTTGATTACCATGCAGCCACCTCTCGGTCTATGTGTATTTTCAGCAACATACGAAGAAGTACCATTTGTAGAATATTCGAAACATGGATCTGAAGGACGATGCATGAAGTGGACTTATTGGTGAGCGGGTGAAGACCGAAAAACGGAAGGGAAAAGCAGCTGTATTTTGGCCATGATTTTGGCCCACAAGTGCTGCTCTCAATGAGGTACCGCGTAATTTTGAATATGTTTATTCGTCTTGAACATGGATGTTGAACATGTGAATTGTCAGTGCCGTCATGATAGTTCATAAAAGAATCGTAATGAAGTAATAATTTTTCAAAACGGTAATTGTCAGGAGTATAATGTGACGTATTAAATTATATTTTTAGGAGCATGTGACGAAATAAATGAAAGAGCACATAAAGAACAAATCGAAGGACGATCCGGTTAAAGGGCTTACAATTAGTTCCAAAAGTTTAAATACTGCACAATTTCCAAAAATGCAGAAAGGAGATGTATTGAACGTACAACATAAAGGTATATCGTTAATAGAAGTTTTATTCTTTCATTTCTTTCTACATAGAATTATAAAAATATTTTCGATCTTTTCAGAAGTATATCCAAAGGATCCACCATTGGGAAGGAGGAATAGAGAATGAACACCTATAAGTTCGTCGATAATAGAAGCTTTACTCTTTTCATTACTTATACATACAACTATAAAAACATTTTCCATCAGAAGTGTTTCCAAAGGATCCATCGTTTGGAAGGAGGAATAATGAATAAACACTTGTAAGTATGATGGTAATAAAAACTTCATACTCTCATTACTTTACACGTACAATTTTAAAACCGTTTTCCATCTTTACAGAAGTATATCAAGGAGATAAAAAGAACGCAACGGAAAAGACTGAGAGATATTGGAATACTAACTAGGAATGCAGTGTTTAAGTTGGTTGGAATTAATGTACCACCGAAGGTAGAGAAATTGGTGTTAGAAATGATCTTGGTATTAGAAAGGAAAGAACAAATAGAATATGTACTTGGATCAATTTGCAGCAGTGACAGAAGAACCTAAAGCTGATTCGTGATTAATTAAATTCTGTTTAGGTATTAATATGAGACCTGATTAAAATTCTTACTTCGCAAAGTACTATTTCTATTTTTATTATCCTATGCCCATCCTTTTTCTTTTCTTAATTTTAATTTAGAGGGGAGTAATGGTAGTGAGAGTGAGAACACATAATTTTTGATCAATATAATGCGCAGATCTCTTTCTCACTACCATTAATTACATATATTCGACTGTAGGGTGTACCACGGTGAGGACCAAAACATTGCGGCTGGGAGCTGTTTTTTCTTCCATTTTTCGGTCTCCGCTCGCTCGACTATGCACTATCCTTCAGGTCCATGATTCGAAACACATATAAAGGATCTTTTCTACTAGGACGACACGACGAAAAGTAGTGCCGAAATATAGGAAAAGGCATGTAAAAACTGGGTGCCTCCTTGACTCCCGCAGAGCGAGTGGCCAACTGTGCATGCTCCAAGCAGGAACTGTCGTCGACGTAGACATCTAGAAGTATTAAGACACTTACAGGATTTAAAAGAAACCTGAAAAATCATTAAAACACGATAAAACCTTATGAATTGTTATTAAGTTTATTCTGTAGACCATGGAACATTAATACATTCAATGTTTCAATAGAAATTCTCACCAATTACATAATAAACACACTCGAATTTAACGATCTCAAACGTTACATTATTTAAAATAAACATATAAATTTAATATGAACGGACATGTAGCCGAGTACATTAAAGTTGCCATGTGTTCATAGAATTTGCGTACGAAAGTATCGTTTCTCATACATCGTCGATGAGTCTACCTAACTACCCGTATGTTAAATATATCGTATTGTTCTCGTCTCAACTTTCTTCGTTTATAATTAGTTAACCATTAAAGGTAAGTGTAAATTTCCTATTTCATGTTTCTAATATCATTAATCCAGATCGTGACTTAAGGTCGTTGCGCTATAAAAATTGAAACCAGTACTCAATATATCACTATTGTTC